CCCTTGATGAGGTCGGAGAACATGCCCGGATGAGTGAGCTGAGGGACTGTGTGACCCTTGTGTGCGATGGTGGCCTATAGAGACAGGGGCCAAAACCTCATCGATGTACCATCACACAGCATGCATATCGATAGATCGTTCAGGAAAGCCAGAAATCCACCTTTTAGGGTGAAGCGTATGCATGTGCAAGAGATACCCCTATACGTCATAGAGCTGTGGTCGCATAAAGTCTTGGTGACCTTGACTTGTCTGTAAGTGAGGAGCTGTAATCCACAGATTAGGATTGTAGCCCCTTGGCTCATCCACCAGACTTTGGTGACCCGCTAATGAGCCCCTGCTTGTACTGTGGGTCATGAAAAACACAGGATTGGTTCGATAAGGCAAGTGTGGTCTGTAGTCCACAATTGAAGGTGGAGTGCCTTATGATTGTAGATTAAATTCATTAACCATATATATCCATTTCCCGTCAAGTTAATTTAATTATGTTTGTTTTATGAAAGAAATTATTTTAAAATTATTATTTGAATTTTTATGAGTCATTTGATATTTTATTTATAATTTTTTTTAGACTTATACAAATGAAGATATTGATTTTAAAAAATTATAAAATTCAAATAATGTTTTATATTTTTGTTAGTAATTTAAAATTATATAAAATATCATGGAGGGGCCCATAGTACACATGGGCTCACCATGTGTCAATTGGGTGGGGCCCACATGTGCCACACATGGGTGGCACGCCCCATCCATCGAATTCTTTCTTGGAGTTTAAGTTATTTCATGTTTTGGTAATATTATGTTGTGACATGTGGTCAAATAAGATATGAAATATTTTGACCATATATTGACCAAATATTAAAAGTGTATATTGACTTGATATATCTTTAGAATATTTTATGAAAGATTATGAAATGCATAAAATTTTAATTAGATTTAATTTATTTAATTTCTGTTGATGGGAAAATGGTTAAGGAGAGGGGGATAATGGTCCATGCACCTTCCATAATGTTGATGGCCTATCTATGGAATGGATGGCTCTAATCTCTCACCCCACAAGTCACCCTTGATCGACGGTCTATGTTCAATCTCACAAGAAGAGGCAAGCAGAGGAAAACCCTAAGAAACCCTAATCTTGTTCATGCTTATCAACATGGATTGTCTCTATCCAAAATTTCTACACCTTATCTTTCTATCTCTCTCTCTTAAGAAAGTTTATATCTCTCATGTTTGATCTCTCTCTCTCCCACATTGTGAAAGAACCTAAGGGTTTAAGTTATGGAGTTCTTCTCTCTCCTTTCTCTCATATATGGATTTATGGCCTAGGGTTTTAGGGTTTAGCAAAAAAAGAATCCATCTCTCACAAACTTGATTGTTAAGATAATTCACCTAGGGTTTCAGTTTGTGATCAAAGGGGTTCCTATTCCATTGATGTAACATGGCCAAAATTTGCTTTCTCGGTTCGAGATTGAAGCTAAACTGTTGATCCCGCGCCATCAAATGGTGGTGACTCGATATGGGGTGTAATAAACTCGGTTGAGGTAATCTCCCTCTTTTATTGACTTTTGACCATAAAAATTATTCCCAACATATCTTTTTATACCATGTCATCTCAAAAACCTTTTTAATCTTGTTTTTCCCTTTCCACTCTTTAAAAATGTTTTTAGGTTGAAATGGTATAAAAAGATTTGTTGGGGCTAATTTTATAATCAAAAGTCAATTAAAAGATGGAGATAAGAGATGAGGGGTATGGTGAAATCTTTACGGGTTTTCTTATGCCACTTGAAAAAAAAATGAAAGGAGGGTCTACTGTGAAATAATACGACGAATTAGGGTTCTATATGAAATTTTTTTTAATAATAATTTTTTTTTTTATGGTCTACCCTTCATATATAATAAATTTTTTGTTTGAGGTTTAGTGGTTCATTGTTTTTCTTTCTTTGCTGTTTTTTTATTCCTGTTTCCCATCAATTGAATCTTATAATGATGCAGTTTGTTGATTTTATGTTATCTTATGGCTTGTAGTTACAGGTGCTCTGCGATATTGGACGAGTGCTTGAATAAAACAAGATGGATTCCCTCTCCTTCCCTTCTCACCTTCGCAAACATCCATATCTTGCCTTAATTCTCCTAGCACTGCTGATCACTATCATAGTCGCTGGGGCCGCCGGAAAAGGGTTCCATACACCTTTTTCTGATGACAAAGAAGAAATTTTAGGGGACCCATATGCCATTCTACGGTCATCATGCAACGACACCCTTTACCCGAAACTTTGCTTCAAGACTCGAGCTTCAAAGTCTCAAGCACTATCTGGCACAACCCGGAGCGAGATCGTGGGGCTTACTATAAAAGAGACCATTGACTCCTTTGAGGAGCTCCACCGTCAGAATCTGAGTTTCTTGCAAGTAGATCAAACGGACTTGAATTTCCGGCAAAGAGGGGCCCTCAAAGACTGCCTCTACCTCATTGACCATACCCTGTTCCAGCTCTACTATGCTTACTATCAGCTCCACCATATGTCGCCTAAAAACCACTTCAACTTGTCAGAAAGCCACTTCTCAGCCGACAAGTACCAACTTTTACAGCCAACTCCAGCAAACCTGAAAATTCTTCTCAGTGCAGCCATGACCAATCAAGACACATGTCTGAGTGAGTTTTCACGACCAAGATTCACAGAAGATATCTGGAAAAAGGCTGGCCAGGAGCTTGTGCCCTTAACCCATATATCAGTAACTCTCTCGCTACTGAGACCTCCGAGAGGCCCACAGGAAAAATTTTCCAGTAACCTGAGAGACGTTTTCCATCATGGGTCAACTGGAGAGTTTCACATTCGGAAAAAGTCAAGGTTAACATGGTGATGGCAAAGGATGGGAGTGAGAATTATACGATGATAACAGACCTAATGAGAGCGGCAGCAAATTGGACGTGATAGGGAAAGAAATGGGTAATTTTAGTGAGAGAAGCGGTTTATAGGGAGAATGTGGAGGGTGAGAGAAGACTAATATTATGTTGATGGGGGAGAGGATGCAGAAGACTATGATCGAATGGAGCATGAATGTTGTGGATGACTTCTCCACCTTTAACTCTTCAACAATGGAGCATGAATGTTGTGGATGATTCCTTCACCTTCAACTCTGCAACACTATGTAAGTTTCTCTCTGTCTTTCTCTGGTTTTCTCTCTGTCTTTCTCCGGTTTGTTAGCTTTTCTTGCTCGATGGCTTTTTATAAAACATGAAATAGATCTTGTAACAAAATTCATATTTTTTCAAGTATACCTCTACTGAGTGTACATCTGAATAGTTCTTTGAGAAATACTACTACAATTAGACTGGCCATCAAATTAACTGTGAGGTTGACTGGTCTAACCTGGTTGTAACAAGCAGCTTGATGTTTCAGAAAAACCAAACAAACTAAATTGAAAAAATAATGAACGCTTATTGAAGAAAATCAGAGAAATCAAGGAAAATTCATGAAAAATAAGAAAATGGTAAGCTTGAGAATTTGTTTGTGAAAATGATTTACATATTATTCTTTAAGGTTTCATATTTTCCATGCTATGATATGCTGCGTTTCTTTATATTTTCTAATTAGTAGATTTTTTCCTAGAGGTTTGTATGATCACTAGCGACATGCTAGCAAAATCCAGCAATGAACTAAATTTCCTGGAGTTATAATTGGGATATTTATGTGTCAAAATTTACCATCTGATTGAAAGTACAATGAAATTACCATCTATTCAAGAAGGCAAAAGATACCCAACGTAGTGTTCCTTTCTTGAATAACAAAATCAGCCACAATTTCATGTGCGTGAACGATTTTAATTGAACTTAATGGAGTAGGTATTGATTTTAGAAACCAATTTACCTGACGCTAATGGATGGGTAGATTTTATTTATATAGCAATATAACTTATATTTTCATCTTTGATAACGATTGTCTGAAAATGGCCCATTTTTGGTCCCCTTCTCTCAAATTTTTTTTATCATATACAACTTAGACAAGTTCTCTTTCATAAATGGAACTGTGCATATCTTGAGGTGCAATTTTTTTTGTTGTCTTCTTTTCTGGTTTTTCTTTGATATAAGATTTCTCTTTGTTTTATCGGTAAGTAATTGATATCAAGATTCTGCAATTTGAATCTCACCGTCTCTAGACTTTTTGTGCTTTTAAAACTTTGAACTTCAGCAGCTACTTCATGTAAAATAGAGCACCTGGTGGTGTGTGGTTGGCTGTGTTTAAACTTCGTCATCTCTGCATTGCAGCTGTATTCGGAGACGGCTTCATGGCCCGCGACCTCACCGTTGTCGATACCGCCGGCCCCACCAAGCACCAGGCAGTAGCCCTCCATGTCCAATCGAACTTCACTGCTTTCCTAAGGGTCAATATCTCGGCTTACCAGGACACCCTCTATGCCCACTCCCTCCACCATTCTATAGGGATTGTCATATCTACGGCACTGTTGACTTCATCTTCAGCAACGCATCCACAGTATTCCAGAACTGTCAAATTTTTCCACACAAGCGAATGTCGAAACAGCAAAACATGATAACTTCTCATAGCAGGTTTCAACCCACACATGATACATCATTTATCTTTCAGAATTGTACCATTCAAGGTGCTCCTGACCTAGAGCCAGTGAAGTGCAATTTCTCGACTTATTTGGGAAGGCCATGGAGACCTCATGCTAGGATGGTGATAATGCAATTATATTTAGGGGATGCCATGGGCAAGGAAGGGTGGCATCCATGGGGAACGAGCCAATGCAACATACAGCGACGTGTGTGGAGTACAAGAAATGGGGACCCAGGGCTGACACAAAGGGAAGGCTGAGGTCGAGGGATTGAAGGTGGGTGGGGATGTGAAGAGAGAGGAGGTACAGAGGGCAGATGTGAGTCAAGGCCACCGTGGTGCCCTTCAAGGCAAGGTTGTGAGCATGGTTTAAAAAATTGGTAATTCAGATCGGAATCGGCAATCAAGGTAACCGGTCCATTTTTTAAAACCTTACCTATGAGAAGTAAACAGAGAATGTTAAGATATGGATATCTCGGATATCTCGGGTTCATATTGATATACATCATTATGGATGTATGAGTATATATCTCTTGATAACATTAGGCATCTAGAAGATAAACGTCAAGTTAGTTTGGTGATAAGACCTCGTACTATTTACCTATCTCTAAGAATCATACCATATTTATCCTATAATTGTGTGATCGTCCTTTATATATAGAGGTACTTATTGATGTAGATGTTCATCCAAAATACTGAAGATGTAGCCGGTTGGGGCTTTGGATCTGTGGACGTAAGGCTTCAGCTTGAACTACATAAATGTTGTGTTCTGTCTTCTTCTATCTCCATTCACTCCATTCTATACTCCCACGAATTGTTCTCTCGTCTTCTATCTACATTCTCCATTCTATGCTCCCATGAATTGTTCTCTCTTCTTCTATCTCCATTTTCCATTCTATGCTCCCATGATTCAAACATGGTATAAGAGTAATAAACTCCTCAGGCTCAGATCTGAGCTCGCCAACCTCAGATCTGAGCTCGCCAACCTTAGATCTGAGGTTGCCATAGGCCGTGAGGTTGTCGGCCATGAGTTCCACGAAAGGTTTCCATGAACCCAAGCATTGCAGGGAGGCTTCCCACGAGCCCATGGCCGAAGAAGAAAAGAAACAAACCACAATACCCTAGCTGAGCTTGGAAGATCAGATTAAAGACGTTCGGGTTTTTGAAATTGAGGAGAGAGAATATTTTAATGAGAAAGTACGGAGAGAAAGAAAGTGTGGCCCTTTCCTTTCTATTTCAAAGTTGGTGAGGGGGGAAGACAGCAGCGGCTGCCTACCTACTATACCTTGCTTTTCCTTTTGTAGGTGAGAGAGAAACAACTTGTTTGTAGACTTAAGAGAGAGAAAGAGGATCCAATTTGTTTGAGAATCAAGAGAGAGAAAGAGAGGTGACAACCAATGCATGGGAACACCAGAGCATGCTTCAAGCTTCTGAAGCCACAAAGACGTCTGAAGATTTCTCTCACTAAGCCTAATGGCAAGCCATAGCGAACTAGCCAAGCAAAGACAAGGGGGAAAAACCTTGATCCTCTGCATCGAAACCCCAAAGGCATGCAAAGCAAGAGTGTGAGTCCACCGGCTACTGAACCCGAATCTTCTGAACCAGTTGATTGACATGACCTTTGCTTTCATATCAATATTACCCTTGACCTTTTCAATGGAGGAAACCCTAGGACTCTGAGGCCCAGGGCACTCTTCCACAGAGAGATCAGAGTCCGAGCTCGTTGATTTGCCATACTTTTGGCTGAAAATCCGTTTTTCAACACCCTTTTCGGGCGTGTCTGCAAAGGACTCCACCCTCGAGATGCAAGATGACTCCGATGATTCGGTATCTGACTCAATGTCGGTTGCAGTCATCGAGTGCCTCCTCTCATGATGGTGATCTTTGCGTTGTCTGCCTAGAGAGAGTTTGTACAATTGTTGCAGATGATTGTGGATATGGGATTTACATAAGATGTGCCCTCTATCTTTTGATCCATCAACAACAATACCCTCAATGTAGTGGGCCAACCTGGCTCCATACCCTGTCCTCTCTGTCGTAATAGAATCATCGCCTTCTTGAGACTTCTTGGCTCCCAGGAAAAGACGTCAAACTAAACCTCACTCTAGGGCTTTGTATGCCATGTATGCTCCACTCTTATGATTATGAGCCAACTTCAACACTGGACTCTTCTAAACCCGAATATCGAAAGAACAGGGCTGCCTCTGTTTCCTCAAAACTCTTTTGTTCGGTCTCATGTAGCTCAGCAATTGATCCTCAAAGAGACCACCCCAGAATTTTCAGTGCAGAATGTTCAGCCTGTTCTTGGTGGAGTTGGCTTGGCCAACAAAAAAAAAAAAAAAAAAAAAAAAAAAAGGAAGTAGAGAAGAACAAAAAAAAAAAGCTGGTATTTTTTTATTATGTGGGCTATTGTCTAGAAGCTCAATTTCATTGGCCGTTTTTTTTATATGATTGCACTCGAAAGAAAAAACAAAATTTTGTATTTTGTAAGTTGGGTGTTTCTTCTCATCCACACCCAACTTAAGGGGGAGAGTATAGGAGATATGGAGATAGAAATGAGTAGAGATGAAGTCAACATCTCTAATGTAATCGCTATGTGGACAAGAAAATCCAAATTCTGGATCAGTCCAACTACTATGCAAAGGGAAGTTGTGATTGATGATCAAGAGTTCCCTCTCCGGATGAGGAGATGAAGATGATCGAAGTTTTCAATCTTGGTTGATGATCAAGAGTTCCGTCTCCAGATAAGGAGATGAAGATAGTCGAATTTCTCTAACCTAGTTGATGATCAAGTTTTCCGTTACTTGATCCCATTTGATGATGAAGTTTTCCATTACTCCATCCTGTGTGATGATCGAGTTTACTCGATCCTATTTGTTCCAGATGTCTATGTTTCAATGATTGAGTTTTTCACTACTCAATCCTATTAGATGATGGATTTTTTCATTGCTCCATCCTGTGTTATGATCATTTTTTTTTAGAGAGAGAAAGCCTCTAAAAAGAAAAGAAACCTCTGATAGAGAAGATCTTCAGAAAGGATGACCCTAGAGAGAGAAAGTCTCTAGAAGAAAGTAGAGAGCCTAAGAAATGTTCTTTCTTAAAAGACCCTAAAGAGAGAAAGTCTCAAAAAAAAAGTAGAGAGCCCAATAAAGGTTGTTTTTTGAAAGACTATGGTAACCTGTGAAATTTATAATGGATTTGATCACTACCCTTATTTTTTGGCAACTTAATATTGTTCAAACTCAAGCGGCTTTGTGTCAAAGCATTTTGAGTTTGAGGGGAAGTGTTAAGATATGGATATCTCGGGTTCATATTGATATACGTCATTATGGATGTATGAGTATATATCTCTTGATAAGATTAGGTATCTAGAAGATAAACATCAAGTTAATTTGGTGATAAGGCCTCCAACTATTTACCTATCTTCAAGAATCATACCATATTTATCCTATAATTGTGTAATCGTCTTCTATATATAGAGGTACTTATTTATGTAAACGTTCATCCAAAATAGTGAAGATGTAGCCGGTTGGGGCTTTAGATCCGTGGACATAAAGCTTTGGTCTGAACCATGTAATGTTGTGTTCTCTCTTCTTCTATCTCCATTCTCCATTTTATGCTCCCACGAATTGTTCTCTCTTCTTCTATCTCCATTCTCCATTCTATGCTCCCACGAATTGTTCTCTCTTCTTTTATCTCCATTCTCCATTCTATGCTCCGACGAATTCTAACAGAGAAGAGAAGTAAACAGAGAAAACACTTTGTGATACCCTCTTTTCACTTTACAGTTAGGTGTGGTGGTTGATTATTTTGGTTCTCCACTTATAAAAATGTCATTGTTAATGTTATTGGTGGGCATGGAATTTGGGAGTAAATGAAAGCAGCTTACGTTTCGCTCATGTAGAAGGTGGGATGTGTTTGTTTCTTTTTTGTGTGTTCCACATGTGATTTTGTTTTGAATCCTGTATGTTCGATATAATTCAACCCTTATTTGGCTATCTCAATGTTATTACAGTTATTATTTATATTATTAACATAACTACTACAACTATTATTGTTACTATTCATATTATTATTTAAATTAATTATATTAAAATAGTGATCATTTAAATATATTTTTAAAATTTAAACTCCCATACCTCAATTTTTTTATTGTTATTATTAATGTTATTAATATCACTAGTGCTACTGTACTACTATTGTTGTTATTATTAATATTCTTACTTAAAATATTTTCTACTGAAATAGTGGTAATTGAATTATATTTTTATTATAATATTATATTATTATCTTAATAATGTTATTATATTATATTATTATTGAAATATTTGTGTTCCATTACGATATTTTTAATATTATAATATTATATTAGTACCGACAAAAAATATTATATTATGCTATTATATAATTATCCAAAACCCCCAATTAATTGGGATAAGGCTTAAATGATGATAATGATGATGATGGTAATAATTATTATAAATATGATAATCATATTAGGGATTGTCTACAAAGACCATTGATTTTTTGTACGTGGAGGTTACAATCATTTTGGTCCTTTAAATTTCAAAATGGGTGGTTGTAAGGGCATCGGGTGTCATTGAATAGACACAATGCTCCAAAAAACAATTCTCGACACACCAAGCATGTGACATCTGATTAGTGTGAATGATTTAGATCCCCATATAAAAAAGACAAATGGTCTCTTTGTAGACCATCCCATTGTATTATACTAATAACATTTACTATAGTAAATATTCATTGTAATATACTATAATAATCATAATAATAATATTTTAATTACAATAATAAAGTAACAATAATAATAAAAAATAAATATTATTATTATAATAATAATAATAATAATAATGATACGATTGCTATAATAATATTATTACAGTATAATAATACTATAATATCATAGTACATCATTATTACATATAATAATAATCATAATTATATAATTACTCTAATAATGAAATAATAATATCATCATCATCAAAGTTTTAATTGTCTTAATTGGGGTTACAATATAATAAATTTTAATAATTATTATTATAATAATAATGATACTATTGCTATAATAAGATTACTACAATACATTAATTCTATAATATCATAGTACAGTAATAAATTCCTATTGTATTATTATTTAATAATAATTATGATTACATATAATAATAATCATAATGATATAATTACTCTGTTAATGAAATAATAATATCATATCATCAAAGTCTTAATTGGGGTTAGCAAAATAATATTATAATGATAATAATAAATAATCAGAAATGTTTCTATGTGACCCAAAAACCATTTAAGTTATATGGGGCCCCACTTCTAAGACGTTCGATCAGAATCGAATGGCTACGATTGTTCTGACTTAATTATTTGTGTATAGAGAGAGATAACTTTGTATTCACGTTTTGAACGTGTTAGATTTGCTTTTCTTTAATTTGTTATAATGTAAATGAATGATTATTGTTATTTAGTTCTCTTCTCAAGTGAATATAGTATGAACTTTCTTCAAATCTTGTAAATTTTGGAAAAAAACAGTATCTGGACCAGCTTTATCGATTCTATATTCCATACTCGATTGGAGAGAGTGCATGAAATTAATGATTGTTGCTGTGTGTGAGAGAGATGTGAAATTCATTGGTTGATAAGAAAGAGAGAGAGAGAAATAGAATTTTAGTGCCCTTGTTAGAGAACAAAAAAGAGAGAAAAAGATATGATGTTAGATAGAAAGGTGGCCACAGAGATAGATTGTGGAAGTATTTTTTCCTTGATGATAAAAGGAAAGTTATAAATACCTTAGTGGAACATGTTTTCTAGGCATGCATACTAACCCCAAAACTATTTATTTTTTGTTCTAGCAATTATAAAATTTCAGGTAAAATATAAAATGCTCCACTTATATACATAAATTACAAGAAAGATCGGTCACTTGCCTTTTTTTTTATTTTTTTAAAGTTCCCCCCCCCCCTTCCCTGTGTATATAAATTACAAAGAAGGTCGGTCACTTGCCTTTTTTTTTATTTTTTTAAAGTCCCACCCCTCCCGGTGAATTTTTTTCCTATCTTTTTGTTTTTTTATTTTTTATTTAAATTCGAGATGATCAGGGGGCAACTTTGAATGAAAAAGATTAAATTTTTTTTTGGATCATTAGAATCGGAAAAGTATAATTTGTCACTTGGTGTAAAGAAAAATTTCAGATCTTGAGAATCCATAAAGGTCAATGCGGTCTATTTATTTTCATTTGTTCAAAATAAAAAATTATTGGGACACTTTTTTTTGGTAAACAAAATTTTTGTGACTTTAATTTTTATTTTTTTGTGCATTTCAGATTTTGAACATACGGAAGTTTAAAAATGGATGTTGAAAACTTAAAAAGCTCTATGTGTTATTGTAATACTGGGTAGGAAATTGGTGTAGATGTAATAGTAGGAAAAAT